ACGAAACACACAGCGTCTTCACGACATGGCTGCAGCGGCAACAATGCTACAGTGAGAATAAAAGTCACGCCTTCTTTCTTTGTGTGAACATTTGGGAGGCATTATGCAAATCTTCCCACATAGTGATGTAGATATGTGGGGGGTGTTAGAATGAGCCGTTTTAGGTAGGTGTGGTTGACTCTGAACTTTTATAAAGAGACTTTAGTCTTTGCAACTTTACAGATCTTCTTTATGCACCAAGAGCTTGTAACACTCCAAAGAGAAAGGAAAAATTTAAAATCACATCATATGACCCCTTTAAACTGATCATAAGCGACGGTAAAAACATTTGTAATGTTACAAAAAAAAAAAATTGTATTTCAAATAAATGCGGTTTCTTTTGAACTTTCTATTCATCAAAGAATATCAGGGAAGCAGCACAACTGTTTTCAACACTGATAATCAGAAATGTTTCTTGAGCAGCAAATCAGCATATTAGAATGATTTCTGAAGATCATGTGACACTGAAGACTGGAGTAATGATGCTGAAAATTCAGCTTTGATAACAGGAATAAATTACATTTTACAATATATTAAAACAGAAAATCGTAGCAATATTACACAATATATTTTGATCCAATTAAAAAACATTTAAAACCCCCTTTTTTCAGATTTCATACATTCAGACCATGTGTGATGAGATCAGTAGGAACAAATCTGTCTCACCAGTCTTTCTCCTCCGGCGGGATTTGGAGCGAGGGGTCAAGTCTCGCACATAAACGGCCGTGTTGAGTCCGGCCACTACAGCATTGATGGTCTCATCCAACCACGTGGACTGCATCATATATCTGGGAGCGAGCTAAAACACAATACCACACAAAATCAAACACACATTAGCTCATATCTAAAGCAGTACTGCACAAAACATTCCCAAAGTTCACTCACTAAGCCTAAGTGTGAGCAAAAGTAAAGGTCCTTGCTAGGGGTTGAATGACTACTGATTTTTTGAAGCCGACTTTTATGTGATGAAAGTCGAGTCGAAGTCAACTAGTCGCTGATGACGTCATTAATGAACAAATAAGTCTGGAGCTGTGATAAATACCTTGTGCACAGCTATGGCATATGACACAGCTGTAGCGTCTGCGTAGAATCATGCATGATCTTTGGGTTTTTATGGCTTAAGAGACCCTTTTAGCCTTTTGACATTTGCATATAAATTACAGTTCTGGTCAGAGATTTTACTTTTTAATGGGGGTTTAAATTGCCAGATGGTTCCAACAGGGCTGTCAAAATGGCTGAAAAACTAAATTCAAATTTTGTACTTAAATATTATTAATATTAGAATTATATTCTAATTTAAAAGGCATAATTTCAGTTAGGGGCAAAAAGCTTTTGGCTTTGGTCAAAAGGCCACAAGAGGATGCATAATATTACTAATGCACATTTTTAAAAAAAAGTGCATGTTTAAAATAATGTTTATAAACCCAATATAATTAAAGTCCCCATGAAATCAAAATTAAAGTGTTAGTATCAATATGTTAGTCTTAAGGTTATCTATAAGGCATTGTGCTCCAAAACAGGGACAAAATTCACATTTAGAAGATATAAGCATTCAAAGCTTGCAGTTCGTCCCTTCCGCCAAAACGGCTCAACGATTTTTTTGACGTCACATCGTACTTCAGCTTCTCATCAAACTTTGTCCAATCAAATGCTCTCTAGAATCCGAAGTGCCCGCCCCCTACACTATAAAACAGACGCTGAAGCCACGGCTGAAATCGGTCACTTGTCCACAGAATTAGTATTTTCTATACAGTGAATGGAACGTAGTGCACTATATAGGGGACAGGGAACAATTCAAAGTGTAAATATGCTTTCCATTGAGGAAAAAAAGTCGTCTGGTTTTGCGCTGTGTCACGCTAACCACCGCACCGCACACACACTCTGCTCCGGTCCAGAGACACGATAGCACGGAGCGGATCACATGCGCGAGTCGGAAAATAATAGTTCCTTGAATTAATAAATTATTATATTGTCTGCTCGGTGGACGGACAGATCAAATAATTGTAATATTGATTCTGCTACAGTTAATTCGAAGATATAATCTAAATATTTATTATTGATCATAACCAGTTATAGTTAGTCATAAATATTTCCATTTTTAGAGCTATAAAAACCCTACACAGCGCTGCCCACATGGCTGTTGCTCCTATAACAGCTCATTTTTATCAGTTCTTTTGTCTTTGGGTCATTATTTATTTAAATCTGATACAGATAAAGTAGCACAGTAAGTAAGTGAGAGGCGATTGATTGTATGAATTAATTCTACCTGGCAGCGTCTCTCTACTAGTAGGCTACTGAAGCTGTGGGATTTAGTTATTAAGCAATATATGCTTGAACTTTTCAGTTTCTAAGCTATTTTATTGAGAAATCACAGAACAGTGTTGACAATACATTTCCGCGCTGAATGATTCTGTGCACCTGATGTACGCGCTACTGTCTGTAGCTGTGTGCGCGTTACAGTGCAGCAGTGCATTAGATTAGAACGGCGATGAACTTACCTGTACAATAAGCTGTTTAAAACGTGCATTCTCCCATTCAATTTCGAGCATCCAGTAATATAATCACACGTCTTGTGGAGCGCTTTCAGAGTATGCATTTATTTGTCATTTTAACTGTTTGGAAACGGAGCGTAAATGTAGAAGTCCTTCAAAGATTTCTTATCCTGTTGCGCCCTCTATAGGACCAGCGACTAGTCAACGTCAAGTTTAAAGCGTCATGGCAGAGCTTTGAAGTCGATTAGTCGGTGCAACTCCTAGTCCTTGCACACTGAGTCCGAATTTTTTTCTTTTCTTTTTTTCGTATTCGTCATCCTTTCCTATCAAAATGCTTGCTGCGGATGCGAAAACGCAGGAAATTGAAATTGATTTCACTTTTTTTTTTTATGACGGACAACATTTTTGGAGGCAGTTTTTTTTTTGCAAAGACCTTAACAGTTACAATATTTATGTTCATACTTGTTCTAGCATTTAGTTATCCCATTTACTTGTATTTGAACAAAACAAACATCGGTTAGACCGGATTCATCATCTCAATGACACACCAATCTCAGCTCAGCAGCACATCAGTAAAGACACTGTTACACACTTGTGATTAGACAGCAAAGCGAAAGCATCATGCAAACCTGCGCTTCAGTGCGTGCCTGTGTGATGCGCCGTCTGTTGACATTGGCCCGAACACGTTCGCTGTGCTGGGTGCGTGCGATAGCGCGAGTGGGTCTGGACCGGGGACGGCTGGTGGTGGGGAGAGAGCTGCTCTCGTCCTCACTGATTTGTTCAGGACCTAAAAGAAGATTAGCAGGAAAACATGGTTATTAGAACAATACATAACAGGGCTGTCAAAATGGCTGAAAAACTAAATTCAAATTTTGTACTTAAATATTATTAATATTAGAATTATATTCTAATTTAAAAGGCATAATTTCAGTTAGGGGCAAAAAGCTTTTGGCTTTGGTCAAAAGGCCACAAGAGGATGCATAATATTACTAATGCACATTTTAAAAAAAAGTGCATGTTTAAAATAATGTTTATAAACCCAATATAATTAAAGTCCCCATGAAATCAAAATTAAAGTGTTAGTATCAATATGTTAGTCTTAAGGTTATCTATAAGGCATTGTGCTCCAAAACAGGGACAAAATTCACATTTAGAAGATATAAGCATTCAAAGCTTGCAGTTCGTCCCTTCCGCCAAAACGGCTCAACGATTTTTTTGACGTCACATCGTACTTCAGCTTCTCATCAAACTTTGTCCAATCAAATGCTCTCTAGAATCCGAAGTGCCCGCCCCCTACACTATAAAACAGACGCTGAAGCCACGGCTGAAATCGGTCACTTGTCCACAGAATTAGTATTTTCTATACAGTGAATGGAACGTAGTGCACTATATAGGGGACAGGGAACAATTCAAAGTGTAAATATGCTTTCCATTGAGGAAAAAAAGTCGTCTGGTTTTGCGCTGTGTCACGCTAACCACCGCACCGCACACACACTCTGCTCCGGTCCAGAGACACGATAGCACGGAGCGGATCACATGCGCGAGTCAGTGCAGACCACACAATGTATCGGAGCTATTTGAATTCTACACAGAATGCTATATTTTATAGCAACATGGATGAGATTGTGGCTGGCATACCCTGTCAAATGTGGCTTTATGGAGCTCAACGGCTCAAGCCCAAGCTGTGATATAAACGAACGCTATTGGCCATTTTAAAAAGGGGTGGGGCTGCTTGATATGTCCCGCCCTGTCTTCCTGTTTCAGTTAAAATGACGTCAACACAGAGTAACGATGTGTGTTTCTAAGCATTTCAGGGGACCTTTAAAGGGGTCATATGATGCTTTTTTAAAGATCATTATTTTGTGTATTTGGTGTAACAGAATATGTTGACATGCTTTAATGTTCAAAAAACACATTATTTTTCAAATACTGTACATTATTGTAGGTCCTCTATGCCCCGCCTCTCTCAAACGCTTTGTTTTC